TTTACATAAAAATTTCACATGTGGAATTAGAAAAATTAGGTAATTTTTCATTAAGATTATTTTTATAAGATATTGAAAATTCTTCTAAATAATTCTCAAATTTAAGTTATGATGGATTATATATTTTGTAATTAATAATTACTTAATTGCTTGGTAACATTAATAATTTCGTTAATTGTACCTTTCCTTATTCCATTACAAGATAAGGTTACAAAAACAAAATATCTGATGTTTTATTGTTTATCTTTTTCTAAATAGTTTTCATCTCAATATTATTAATTGATAAAGATAAATGAGTTGGCATTTCTTAAAGATTATTAGGTAAAAGAGATGCTGAATTCAGTTTCATCCATGATTTTATAAAATTTTCTTAATTTAATTTACTATTACCTTATAAGTAAATTCCTCCTCCTTATTTAGCTTTGTTATTATAAAGAATTGTTTGAGATATATTAAATTAATTGTTATTAATTGAAAAATACAAAGCTCCTCCTTGATAAGTTGCAATATTATTTAATAATTTCAAATTGACAATAGCAATTCTTACATTTTCAGCCATAATTGCAGAGCCTATAGCGCCCCTATTCTTGTTGAATATAGAATTCTTAATTACTATTTATGATTCTTATTAATTTTATGATCTAGCGTATATACATCCATAATTTCTTATATTATTCTTGATACAATATAATTCTTGAATCTATATTGATAAATATTATTGTAAATCAAATTAAATTATTCCATTCTAACATTCTAAACAATTATTATTTGATATTAATATCTGAATTAATTTTAATCTATTGTGAGAATTTGTACTTTAAATATATATTATAGTGCCCTTTTAACTTGATATAAGCAAAATTTGTTCAAATATCCATGCTATTTTTACAGGAAGATTTTAATCTTAATTTAATAATTAAAGATTGATATTACAACTATTTGATTCTAATGTTATTTAAAATCAAATGAAAACAAATTCATAATTTGGATATTCTATAAAATAACCTTAAATTACATGGATGTTGTTTATCCAATATGAATAATGTTTATTGGATAAAATAACTAAACCTCAAAAATACGTAGATTTTCCAGTTATAGAGTGTATGAATCTAAAAGTTATAGTATTGAAGATAATAAAATTCCTTAAAAGTAAAAATTTTTAATTCTTAAATTGCATCCTTATATATTTATAATGGCATTATCATAAGTTATTCTCTAAATTTCATAGATATTTATAGATTCCATTTTTAAAAGTATTAAATTAATTAATTTTCATCTTATTACATTGAGATGTTTTCCATCAAAACAATATTTGATTCAAAATTTAATAGTTAAAACTCTATTTTCATAAATTAACTTACTAAAGAGAAACAATTTTAAATAACTATATTTTGAAATATAAGAACATTAGACTTAAATGATGGAACTATAGATAAGATTGATGGGTTTAATCTATTTTATATCTCTTTCATTGTTATATTTTGAAATACAAGTTCTAAAAGACTATTCTTTGAATAAATTGATATAGCTCCATCATTCTCTCCAATTTACCAAAAAATATTTTATGCTGATATCATAGAACAGTTTGTTATGATTACTTTACCTAAACCCTAAGTAACAATTTCAAGTATAGAGCTACTTTGAGCCAAAATATCCTTAAAAAAACAATTATTTATAGTAAAATGTTCTGTTGTAATTGCCAGAGCACCTCCTTAATTTAAAATTTTAAATACTTAATTAATCATTTAATTGATGATGTCTTAATTAAAATTTAAATTTAAATTTATGTTAAAATATTTATTCCAAAATGATTAGATTAATAAATTATGATTACTAATAACAATATTATTAATTTAAACTAAATTTGTATTGATATAAATATATGAATTTGTAGAATTAATTAATGCATTTCTTTATAAATCAAATGAGTTATGTATAAGGAACTTTATTATGAATTAATAAATAATAAACTTGAGATGCTTAGGATGGATCATCAATAAGTTAATTAAAACTATTATCTTAAAAGTAAATGTTCTCTATTTCAATCATTTAATTCTTTTCAGAATTTATTGCTAATTATGATAGGACTAGACCAAAACTCTTCTTTAATAAAATATTTCCTATAAAAGTTAAGTCTTTAAGTTTAATACTCTCTCTTTGGTTTTTAACTGATGAATTGGATTAAATTTAAATAAAAGATTAATCTATACTATATTGGTTCACAATTGTAATATTTGTTAATGATACAGTTAAGTAACCTTAAATGTAAAATAATTATGAGTTTTCCATCATAACTTCCAAACATTATATAGATGTAGGTACTCGATATTTCTATATTTTATTAGCATATAATAAATCTTCTACATTTATTAATGATACAGTTTAAACAAAAAAATATTAAAGATGATATGAATTTATTATTTCAAATTTCTTTATCTAAAGGTTAAAACAAATCAAATAAAATAGATAAGCAGAGGAATTTTATGCAATGGAAATACTATTTTCTAAGAAATGAATATTTTCTAATTTAATCACTACTTAATTGAGTGTTTATTATTATTCTGTAAAAATAAGAGAAGTATTAATTAGATCATTATTTTAAATATCAAATTAATCAATTGATAAACTATTTGATTATCTATTTGATAACAATTTATAACATAAAATTGTCTATAACAGTTAACAATTTCTTAAATTCAATTACATAATAGTAAGACTATTTTAAAATAGTAAGAACTTTGAATTTTTTAATTTATTCAAATTTAATGAAACTTCAACTAATTTAAATTAATAAATGTCTGTGCCATTAATTAATAGTGAATCTTAAATGAAAGATTCATGAATTATCAAATTATTAATATTAATCATAGATTATGTTTTAATATCTTATATAAAACTAAAAATCGTTGAGTTTAAAATTAGCAATTTTAAATTTAAAAATTTTTAATAATGGTATTATTAGGAAAATCATAAAATTGAAAAAGAGTAGTTTGAGTTAAATTACAATTTCTAACTGTGAAATTAAGTAATTTGATTGAATCATCTTAATTTTGAAATCTTATTAAAAATACGACAGAATCTAATATATTTAAATCACTTAATGTGATATTTCTGATCTCAAAATGTTGACATTATTTTATTTAAATTGAGAATATTATTTAATCTTAATTATTTGCCATAAATTTAGAATCAGTAAGTATTAAGTTCGTAGGAGCATCATCATTAATTATAAATAATTCTAAGGTTTAAAATATAATAAATGTTAGTTTTTTGAAACTGATAGAATCAAAATTTTTTATTTCTATTATTGGTTAATAAGTAGATGGAGAGTGATTACCTAGAAATGTTAACTCTACCCAAAATAAAGAAAAAATTCCTTTTTTTAATTCATTAGTTAACGATTCTTCATATAATTTGTCAGCAATACATAAATCTTGAATAGGAATGATTAAATT